ACCCTGTTTAGATGTAGAGATTTTTCTTTTGTTGTTCTTGTTAGCTATCTTACCTTTGGAGAATGGACTAAATATTCTGTGATTGCTAACAAAATTAAAATACATTTTTATGTATGCTTGCTGTAAAAGCAAATCAAAACTATGGATTCAGATTTAATATGCCAGAAACTCACAAATATAATTTTGGTCTAATGTCTCCAATATAATTAAGTGTTTAAAAATTTTGGAAGTTATAATTTCTGAATACTAATATTTCAAAGAAATTTAAAACTAAAAATAGAGCAGAACAATTTTGGTTGTGTAGCTTGCAGTAATGATTACAAAGCACAGGCTAATGTCAGTGTCAAAAGAAACCATATGTTTTTCTTGTGGCTGTAGCTGGTCAAAGCTCTGTCTTCATATTAATACTGCACATAAATACTGCATCTCCCCTTCTGAAACAAACCATCCTACCTACAGTTTCTCAAAATCAAATCTACAGCCTGAAGATGCTTCTGTGCTCTGGAGGAAATGGCTTGTTTATACTGTATGAGAGGGACATGTTTGAGGAGGAAACAAAAGGCAGATTCTGTGACTCAGTGTATCCCCACTGCAAATGTGAAGGGTGAGAAGTCCTGGAAAGCCACCAGATTTTCCCACTTGTGCATTCCATTGCCGTGGGGAGTCTCCAGCTGGCACCAAACTGATGTGTTTCACAACCACTAGTTTAGAGGGAGCGTCAGATGAAGGGATGTATTCTGGGGCTTTTTGCCTACCCCAGCCAGATCAAGTAGATGATAGTAGCCCACAAAACGTGTTGACCAGTTCTGAAGTCTACATAGTACTTCCCTCCAAGTCAGGACTTCAGCAGATGAGCTCTAGAGAGCCTGTGGTGACTTAGGCCATTACGGCATCTGGTTGTTTCGTGTTCAGCTCTGGCAGATGCACAGGTGTTTGCCAGAGGTAAACATTGCTGCCACTGGCAGTCAGGAGGAAACCTGAGACTCCAGTGTTCGAGCAGCCTGGTGTATCAGCTTAAAGCAAGATGGAAGTGGGTCTCTGTGAGTGCTCTGGATAGTGAACTTCATGGGCTCTGGCATGAGCACATACGGGTTTCTGCTGCCTCAGCCTCTCATCATGTCTTGCAAAGGATGGGGCAGAAAGTGGGATGGTGATTAATGTGGTAGTCAATCCTTGGACAGACACAGTTTGCTTCATGCTTGAAGTTACACTATTAAAAAGCATAAACATGAGTTAAGTCTTCTTTTGTAGCACTGGGGAAGGGTATTTTATGTGGGTGAATATACAAAAATGGCAAGACACTCTGCTGATGTTACCACTGTAAACCTTTTTGAACAAAGAATCTTGTGCACTCAGAGCTAAACTCACTATGCATCAAGATAGTCAAATCTTTAATTGATGTATACTTAGGTTCCTTTTAAGTTGGAATGAGCATGCTTGTAAGCATCATGTACGTTGAACATGAAGGATGTTGCTGTATGCTGGTGTTTCTTGAGAAATCAGCCAGAAAGGAAAGAGGCTATGGGGTCCCTTTTTCTGGGATATTTTGAAATCATGGATTTATATTTGTTGCACAATGAGATCCTGAATTTCCTTTTAGCCTCTTAAGGCAGCTTGAGACAGACACAGCAAGTGAGTCCGGGACTAGTTTTAATAGAAGCTGAATCTTTTGCCTACTGGAGCAAGTTAAGGAGGGAAACTTACAGGGATGGCCTATGAAACTAAGCTAATTTTGAAGGATACTTTGTAATTCCTATTTATTGGCAGCCTCTCTTACTTGCAGGATCTATAAGCTGTACATTGTTTTGTTTATCTGGTTGTTCCCCAAGTCTCTCTAGCAGGAAGGAAATTAGCTGTTACTCCTGTTTTACAATGGAGGTGAGTTGAGGCTAGTGGATTTTCATGGGTTATCTGTGGCCCAGCAGAAAAGTGAGTTGAGGTATCCTGTGGCTTGTTTGGCCTCCTGCACACTGGACACTGTGATCACAAAGTGATTACTTTGTTAAGAAATTACCTTCAACACATTGCATTGTTGGTTATTGATATAATGAGTATTGGTAGATCTTGACTGAAGTTTTCGTTAAATCTTCCACATACTCAATTTCAAGTAATAATTAATTTGGTTTTACATGTAAAACTTGCAAATATGGCAATAGCAACTTCTTCCATGACAGATTTTCTGCATTTCAGAAAGATGAGACGCTGGTCTTTGCCTTCTATATGTGGTGATCAGCAATTCATAGTACTTAAAAAAATAAATTTTCTGACAGTATCACAAACATATGATTCATACTTTGCTTTAGTTAGTGTTAAAAAATCATATATTCTTCCAGAAAATTAATTTCAGTCATGCTTTCTATTTTGCAATACTTACTTGTCCTTTTAAGAGTAATTTTCATAGTGGTATAACCACTAAACCAAGTGGAAATGGGAATTATTTACCTGTGTGTCACTTAAACTAGGTGGTTGGGGTTTTTAATGATTAGCTGTATTTTCTGAAGGGAAGTGCCTTTCTGAGTAAGGAGCATTTTGATTTGTCTGATATCTTATTGCTTGCTAATAGGAAAATAACTTATTTGTTTTTATGAAAAATAGTATCCCGAAGTCTAACCTTTTAGCTGTTCTGGGTGCCAAGCTCACTGTGGTGGCAGATTTTTGTTGCAGCTGAGAAGTTCTCATACATTTAGACATTCAAAGGGTATTCTCCTTTTGAAAAATGCTTGCTGCCTCCAAACACTTACTAGTCTTAGTAGATACCTGTTGTAGTAATTTCATTGCATTTCTGTTTTGTATTGTTTGGAGGTCAGTGGCCCTTGTTCTTCTTTCTTTTCCCTCCTCCCATGTCTGTTTCTTCATGAGCTGGAATACTGCTAACTCAATTCAATTGCTAACTCAATTCAATAAGTTCAATTGTTGTGACTTCTGTAGCTTCCTGTGGTGAAGAGCAAGGAGTGACTTTCACTCCAGTACCTGTCTGATTAACTTGAGGGTTAAAACTGTATGTACTTGTTCTGCCAATTGATGGGGATGGCAGAAATGACACAGACACCAATGGAAAGAAGAGGCTTATTTTACTGTTGATGTTTTAAGATAATAGAAAAAAGAACAATATATTTACATACAAGGTTAGTTTACTAAGCTCTAATACAAACAGCACAACCAACAACAAAGACAATAAGAAAGGTAATGTGACTATCATTACTACACACAGAAAAGAATAGTGATTAAGAAAGACACATCACAATTGCCCCAATACTTTCCCATTCCCCAGACCCACAGTCACTGGGGAGCCCCTGGTTGCAGTGAGGGTTTGGAGAGCCTTTCCCACAATTGGGAAGTCCTACGCAGTACATCCACTTGTAGGTAAGGCTTCCAAAGTCTCTACAAGAGGATCCAGCTTTTATGGACCAAATCAATAGGCTAAAACCAACCTGCATTGGTTTTGGTTTGATGAAGAAAACCATCTGATGGTTCTCTCCTCTGGCCACGCGAGACGGGGGTTTGGCCAGAGCCCAGGACGTGATTGGTGGAATTTCCTAAAATATTTTGCAGGTAGCTGCATGGCCTCGGTGCCTCTTTCACAGCAGACCATGTGAAAGTTACCAGTCCAAATTCCCTGAAATATTACAAGCAGCTTGTTCATTCATAACCACAACTAACATAAAGAGCTTGCTAAATCTTTATCTGTTATTAGCAGATTGCCCAACTAGCACAATTACCAGATGGTCAGAATTCATCTATAAGTCAGCTGTGGCTTGGGCCCAGTGTCCAAGCCTTAGCATTTCAGTACTGTATAACACAGGACTAACCAACCATTCCCTTTCTAGATGTTTGTGTGCTGCATATTTGGTTCATAGGTCTGTCTGTCTCCATTGTTTTGGTGCCTCCTGTTGAATTTTAAGCTGTTAAATTCTGAGCTCTGCTATCTGTAATAATGTTTTATATGTAAAGTTTTATCATGTGAGATCAAGACTTGCAATTTTTCATCACTAGAAGAATGGCTTTTTTTCCCCAAAAGATGTTGCACAAGATTCCAGGAAGTTTTGCTGGAATTGGCAAAAGAGGACAGGAAACTTCCCAGTCCAACTGGTTTGATCACGTACTGTGGTTTTCTCAGAGGAAGCACTGCCAGCTGTGCACATGGAAATAGAATTGCAGTGTGTAGGGCTTCTAGTGCTGTCCTGGTACTTTAAAGTTTGAGTCATGCCTGATACTACTCTTTTTAAAATAACCCATGAATGGGAGTAATGACTGAATAGGTCCCTACATTTACATAAACAGTTTCTTTCTGTGAATGTAAAGCTTGCTCATGTGTATCTTGAGTTCGTTTGATGTAAAATATGCAACATTGCTGCAAAATGGTGTTAAAACCTGGTATTACCAGGTTATAAAAATTGTTCCTCTAGCAAGAGAAGATATGTTTTCTCCCATGTACCCCGATCTAACAGAAGAACCTAAAAGATACAATGTATGCTGAAACAGCTCAGCAGATCTAAAACCATGTTAATATAGTCTTGTATTCATTCTTCTTTAAGCTGGCAATAGTGACTTCTTTTCATAGCAAACCTGACTTTTTCTTACTCCCATGACTCCCACCCTCTTCCCCCCTAAAGCAAAGCACTTCAACTTAAGTGCTGCATTCTGTGTGTTCAGTTTTTTTGTACAACTTCACTGGTGGGTTTGGGTTTTTTGATTCTTTCAGATAACTTGGCTAGAGAAAGTGCTACTGCAGTGTTTGAACTCATTATGTGGGAGGATGCAGGTTCATTTTATAGCCAGTGGGTCTCATATGCAATTTTAACTCAGTGCTGTGAAAGAAATGTCAGCCCTTCCTTTAGGATTGTTCTTGTACCACATGTATGGAAACTTGGCAATAGGTGTATTAGCTTCACCTGTCTGATCTCAGTGCAACTGCAGACTACTTTATTTGGCTTCTGCTCTTGTGGTTTTAGATGCAAGCCCAGTCCAAAGATTCTCCCACGTTGAAATTCTTCAGTGATCAGAAGTCAGGGGATGATCTCACACACTACTGTGCACAATGATTCTACCTATGTTCAGAGGGATTAACTAGTGTTCAACAGAGGAGCAGAAGAGTAGTTGTCTTTGGCTTGTAAATTGTCCTTGAACATCTAATAAGCAAATGATATGCAGTTTATTGTGGAAAAATATATGCATCTAGGTTAAGACTCTGTGTGTGTGTATGTATATACACTCTGATTTTATTTTGACAGGAATGTTTTGATCCTGCTATGCAGTTGCATCTTGTTCATCAGGCTCCATGTGCCATTCCTCCTTACATCTCAAAAAACGGGTCAAGCCTTGGAGATTTGCTAATAGGCTTCTTCAAGTATTATGCCACAGAATTTGAGTAAGTAATAAGCTCATTTTAGTGGTTTAGAATATGCAAAACTTTGATTCCTTCTAGTCAATACAGCAACACTTCATAACCCTCGAAGAGAAAGAAGAGCAGTGATGTGGTAACTTTGAGAGAGGAAATGGGTGAGAAGGCTAAATGACAACAGGAGAGCTGATAAAGTGTCTGGCACTGTCTGCCTGGCCAGGCATTCTACTCTGTAAAACAGCTGCTGAAAGTCAGAGAGCTCTGTCCTTTAAAATTAGCTGGGTTTTGTTGTGTTTCACTATTCTAAAACTGCCTGTCCATTTATGAGAAAGATCTGTTCTTCTTAGTTGTTGTTTAAGCTACTGATTGTGATGTCGATTATTTGGACCTTAATAGCTGCACTTGTGTCTTGTCACCATGAGTCAATGCAGGTAACTGGCCAAGTGGCTCCTTACTTTGGCTAGAATATGCACCTATATAGGCCACACCTAGTGAAGAATTCTCCCATGTATAGTTGGTTCTCTAACATTGTTGGTTTGCTAGAATCTGGGTTTAATTTTGACAACTGGACTTGCCTGTAGAAAAAACTAAAGCTGGGAGGGCATCTGAGAGAGCTGTAGATTACAACTGCTTTGCCACAATGTCACTCATGAATTTCTGAATTTCATGTTTTACTTCAGTATGACAAATGAACAATCATTAAACCCTTGAACGTTGCTGGGATGTGCATCACATATGAGATATGTAAGCTAGATCCCTATGGCCTGTAGTAATTAATGAGCTGACTGCACTTTTGTGCATACTTAAGCGTGATCCTGAAAGACTTTCACATTAAACGTTTTCCTTCAGTGATCTCTGCAGATAAGTGAATTTTTTTGTCCTAAGAGTTTCTCCTGAGTACTTCTCTTTTAGCTGCCAAGGTGATGTTTGCTAGAGAGGTAAATGAGAAGACACTGCTGGAGGATAACCTCAGGTTCCTAATGTGAGGCACTAAATGAATCCTGTACTACCTGACTGTACAACTAACTTGACTGTTAACCTTCTCATATATGAAACTAAATGTCTTTTCCACTAAGGAAGGATTTTCCAGTGTGCCTGTGCAAAGTAACAGACATGATCTTGTCCAAATGCAGGAAAAGTACCTAATTTGACTTTCCTGGTTTGGATGCTTGTGAAATAGTCAAGAGCAGATTTCTGCCTAAGTTGGTGGCTGGTCCATGCAGGCTTTGTTTTTGTCTGCTGTTAGACAGGATATGCTAAGACACGAAGACTAAAAATTCTGCAGTATCAGTACTTGAACTGATAGCAATCACTAAATATTTTTGTGATTATCATAAATCAGGAAAATATTTTGCCTAAATATAATCACAGAGGCACAGGGAAGCTTCTGGGTAAAACAAAGCTTGAAAATCTAGACAGATAGGATAGCTGCTGATGTCAAGGGAAGAAGATACTTTTAAACAACTAACCAAAAAAAAGTATCTGGCTTGTTTTTCCAGTATTCAGTACCTGTTACGTATTTAAACATGTGAATGGTGATATTCTGTTAAAAAACAGAACAAAAAAATAAACAGACAAAAGCCACCAAAAAAACCAACAAAACAACAGGAAAAGAAAACATGCTTGTAAGAATAGCCATTAGAACTCCTGTGTTGAAAGTGCTACATAGCTGAGAGGTCATATCAGGAAGCGATGCACCTGATGCAGCAACCTATATTATTTTTAACTCTTTCTGCTGCCAAAATGAAACTTAGCCAGGTGTACTGTTTATTTGACCATCTAGATGACAAGTATAAGTCCTGTTTGATAGGAATAGGGTGGGTGTCTTGAAGGTAGTTATATAGTTATGTAGTAGTTATATACTATATATATAGTTATAGTGTATAATTTCCTATAGTTTGATACTGGAGGAGACAGATTAACACCCAAGGGGAGGAAAAGGTGGGCAGAACACTGCATAAAAATTTTGTGTAAGGTAACCAGCTGATGAGGACACAAGTGCAGTGTCATCATAACCACAGGATCTGTTAGCTTTGCTTTGAAGTTGCTGGTGGAAACGTTACAGGTGAGAATGAGGAGGACTACAATACATACAGCACAGGGGTCTGTTAGTTCTGCTTTTCATGGAAGAACTAGTACCTAACTCTGGAACATGTGAAATATTTTCAGTGCTGTAATCAATCGTATTTGTTTGTATTTGCTTTCCCTGCTAAACATGACATTTTGAGATAATACTTCAGGTACTGTGACCACTAAAGTAGGTCACATTTAAATGACCTCTACTGGACCAGTGGACTTGCACTATTGAATACGTGTTTGATGAAAAGGCTACTTTTCATAAAAGCAGCTTTTGTAGAGTCCTACCTGTGGAGTAGGATGCAATACTAGGCTTGATACGCAGGAACTGTTTTTCTGAATGAACAGCATGCAATCAAAAATGATCAGATTATGTGTGAAGATCATAGTTTTGGACAGAATGAGTCATTGAAACCACCTGCCTAGAATGCTTAGCTCCTCGTCTGTTTTGTGTGTATTGGTCAGGAAGATAAGAAGAGATGGAGATACACTGTTTAAAACTTCCCCCTCACTCCAGTAGGTATTTCAGTTAAAATCTATAGTTTGTTAGTTGATAGAGTGAATCATATTTAAGTGCAGGATGGGCCCAAAGAGTAGGGCACAAAGGAAGAAACAGAGCCTTGCATGCTGTGCAGCCATGATCAAGTGCTGTGGTTTTTTCTCTGTATGCCTTTAATCTGTTTTGTTTATTTAGACGTAGGATGTTTCACAAAATGCTTATTGCAGTGTCTTTATACAGTGCCTTTTCCACAGTCCTACTCTGGGATTTTCGGCATGTCCATAAAAAGTAATTTTTATATACCCCTTCGTCCCTATCCCCAGAGAAATGTGATTTGGAAATTACATTGAAATAGCACACTACATACGGCAAAGCTTGTTTTGCCTTTATATTTGTCTAATTATCTTGCCATAAGGGTTCAGATCTGCATGATAGAGCTGGCTAAAAGTAAGATTATGGCTCCATTGTAAGTACTTCAAACTGTCAAAGCTCTGCTGATTGTGCAGTGAATGTGACCAAGAGAAAAATGTACATAGATGTTCTCCAAAGAAAGTGTTTGGAAACTGATTCATGTTTACCAGCCCCTCCAAAGGAGGTATCTGGTTTCATCTCTGCAGCTATGAGTGAAGGCAGCAGGTTTTCACTTGGCTGTCTCGTTGCAAAGTGAGACCTTGAAGCAAGGCCTTGCTCCCCTGAATTTACTGCTAGGGAACCCAGAGATTGTCCTTTGTGACTGCTTCTCCTAAATTTATTGTTGCAAGTTACGTGGCAGTTGTTTAAAATCATTCACTGATTAAGTTCACAGAATATTCTGAGTTGGAAGGGACTCACAGGGATTGTTGAGTCCAACTCTTGTTTTTGGCGTTGTATTTGGTGTACATGATATAAGATTGGTTACAGTTTCATCGCAGCATATAAAATTGCAGTGAGCAGTTGCTCACAGCTTTTTTGAATTGGGCAGGTAATAAAGGGATCATTTTTTATATTACATTGCATTAAATATGCTTGACATTTGTACCCATCTTGGTGTGGGTATACATACTCTATATATTATACAAGTGGCTTTGATTTGTAAGGCTACTCTGAAAAAGATGAGCTTTTTAATCTGTAGTGTAGTCATACACACTTACACCTGGAAATGTCTAGTCTCTTTCTTTCAAATACTTGCCTTCTCCATGAGGCAACACAGGCAGCAGCATCAGGAATAACTGATAACTGGATAGGCTGGAGAGATGGGCTG